GCCCCACCCGGTGGGCCCCCGGGACCCCTCCGGTGGTCCCGGTACAATACCGATAACCCCGAAACTTGTCCCGATGCCCGAAACAGGACTTCCCATATATAAATCTTTACCTCCGGACCATTCCGGAACTCCTCGTGACGTCCGGGATCTCATCCGGGACTCCGAACAACATTCGGGTTACTGCATATACATATCCCTACAACCCTAGCGTGACTGAACCTTAAGTGTGTAGACCCTACGGGTTCGGGAGACATGTAGACATGACCGAGACTCTCTTAGTCAATAACCATCAGCGGGATCTGGATACCCATGATGGCTCCCACATGCTCCTCGATGTTGTCATCGGATGAACCACTATGTCGAGGATTCGATCAAACCCTGTATACAATTCCCTTTGCTAATCGGTACGTTACTTGCCCGAGACTTGATCGTCGGTATCGCAATACCTTGTTCAGTCTCGTTACCGGCAAGTCACTTTACTCGTACCGTAATGCATGATCCCGTGTCCAACACCTTGGTCACTTTGAGCTCATTATGATGATGCATTACCGAGTGGGCCCAGAGATACCTCTCCGTCATACGGAGTGACAAATCCCAGTCTCGATCCGTGTCAACCCAACAGCTACTTTCGGAGATACCTGTAATGCACCTTTATAGTCACCCAGTTACGTTGTGACGTTTGGCACACCCAAGGCATTCTTACGGTATCCGGGAGTTACACGATCTCATGGTCGAAGGAAGAGATACTTGACACTTGCAAAGCTCTAGCAAAACGAACTACACGATCTCTTATGCTATGCTTAGGATTGGGTCTTGTCCATCACATCATTCTCCTAATGATGTGATCCCGTTATCAATGACATCCAATGTCCATAGTCAGGAAACCATGACTATCTGTTGATCACAACGGGCTGGTCAACTAGAGGCTTACCAGGGACATAGTGTGGTCTAAGTATTCACACGTGTATTACGATTTCCGGATAATACAGTTATAGCATGAATACAAGACAATTATCATGAACAATGAAATATAATAATACTTTTATTATTGCCTCTAGGGCATATTTCCAACAGTTATCGCCCTCTGAGCTGCAGCGTGGAGTCGAGCTACCTCCGCTCTCCTCTCGTACTCTTCTGCCTCCTCTCTGGTAATAACATATCTCCTTTTTGTCTATGAATCAAAGAAGGCAGGAGCAGGGAGAGTAATACAGAAAACACGTCGTTTATCAAAAATTAAACGATATAAGAGAGGTGATTCAGGCCTCTCGACAAACTGGTGCGAAGCCATAGAGTCATAATCTAAATATGCAGGAGGAAACTCTGTATCACCCTCATGAATGTCTATCTCAAGAAAATGAGCTAAGCGGGTTGCATAAATTCCTCCAAAGAAATCTCCATTATGTCTATTATGATGCAACCTACGAGCTACAATGGCTCCCATATGATAAGATTGGTCTCCTAACACAGCACTCCTGAGAATGCTAAGATCAGGGACACACATGTGACATGCTTCATCCTTAGCATTTATGCATCTACCGATGAAGAGAGCAAAATAATGTATAGCAGGAAAGTGAATGCTCCCTATGGTAGCCTACGTTATATCTCTAGATTCCCCTACAGTTATACTAGCAAAAAAGTTTCTAAATTCAGATTTAGGGGGATCCCTAATACTACCCCATGATGGAAGTTTGCATGCAAGAGTGAAATCCTCTAGGTCCATGGTATAAGATTTGTCATAAAGATCAAACATGACTGAAGGAGAATTACGCGAAGATGAATACTCAAACCTCCTCACAAATGAACTTGTGAGATCATGATACTGGGGGCATTTGTTAGCCTCAAAATCCTCAAGACCGGCATTGCGCAAATATGCTTTGAATTCTTCTTTAATTCCCGCACGGTCCATAAAATTTTTCAACGGCCATTCGCAAGGCCGTACTGGAGCGTCTCTTGGTGGATCCTCGTCGGCATCGCGCATAGCAATCCTGGGTCCTTGCTTCTTAGAGGAATCACCTTGGAACATCTTCCTAAGCATATTGTTTTTCTCTGAAAGATTCTGAAATTTTTAGTAACTTCAAACAAAAGTAAACCAAACTCAATAATATTGATAGCAACTACTCCTACAAGTGCCTAGAACCTATATCAAGCATTAGAACTATTTGGAACCATATAAATTTGACATGCAAGCTCAAGAACATGGTCACCTATGCAGCACAAATTTGCAAAGAATAAAGCAGTAGAACAAAAACAAATTGGACCAATGGAGGAGTCACATACCAAGGAACAATCTCCCCAGACAGTTTTGCGAGAGGTGCTTTGAGCAAGGAGATCGAAAATCACAGCAAAAGTGGCTGGAACTCGTGTTTGAGTTGGTTTTTCGGGTTTTTGTGAGAGAGAAAGAAGATGGGTGCCGGGATAAGTGGAGGAGGGCCACCGTGGGCCCACGAGGCAGGGGGGCACGCCCTAGAGGGGGGGAGCGCCCACCACCCTCGTGGCCAGGTGGCAGCTCCTCCCGCGGTAATTTTTGCACAGTAAATCCTCAAATATTCCCGAAAAAATCATATTAAATTGGCATGGCATTCTGAGGACTTTTATTTTCGGGATATTTTTATATTGCACGGATAAGTCAGGAAACAGACAGAAAAATTACTATTTTTACTTTATTTAATATAAGTAACAGAAAGTAAAAGTGGGGTACAGAAGGTTGTGCTTCTAGTTTCATCCATCTCATGCTCATCAAAAATAATCCACTAACAAGGTTGATCAAGTCTTGTTAACAAACTCATTCCGATTAACATGAAACCGGAGAAATTTCGAATGTCACTAGGTTACCTCAATGGGGATATGCACATCCCCTATAGTAAGTATATCATATTTCTTTTTGATAGTAGGAAGAGGAAATTCAAAACCTCCTATTATAATCGATGGAATTTTTCCAATGGAGTTGATACTATGAACTTGAGGTTGTTTCCTCGAAAAGTGTATCGTATGCTCATTACCATTAACATGAAAAGTGACATTGCCTTTGTTGCAATCAATAACAGCCCCTGCAGTATTAAGAAAAGGTCTTCCAAAAATAATAGACATACTATCATCCTCGGGAATATCAAGTATAACAAAGTCTGTTAAAATAGTAACGTTTGCAACCACAACAGGCACATCCTCACAAATACCGACAGGTATAGCAGTTGATTTATCAGTCATTTACAAAGATATTTCAGTAGGTGTCAACTTATTCAAGTCAAGTCTACGATATAAAGAGAAAGGCATAACACTAACACCGGCTCCAAGATCACATAAAGCAGTTTTAATATAATTTCTTTTAATGGAGCAAGGTATAGTAGGTACTCCGGGATCTCCAAGTTTTTTTGGTATTCCACCCTTAAAAGTGTAATTAGCAAGCATGATGAAAATCTCATCTTCCGGTATCTTTCTTTTAATAGTAATGATATTCTTCATATATTTAGCATAGGGATTTGTTTTAAGCATATCAGTTAATCGCATACGCAAAAAGATAGGCCTAATCATTTCAGCAAAGCGCTCAAAATCCTCATCATCCTTTTTCTTGGATGGTTTTGGAGGAAAAGGCATGGGTTTCTGAACCCAAGGTTCCCTTTCTTTACCATGTTTCCTAGCAACAAAGTCTTTTTTATCATAATGTTGATTCTTTGATTGTGGGTTATCAAGATCAATAGCAGGTTCAACTTCTACATCATTATCATTACTAGGTTGAGCATCATCATGAACATCATTATTAATATTTTCATTAGGTTCATGTTCATTACCAGATTGTGTTTCAGCCTAAAACCAATCCTATATCAATTTTGATAACTTGGAGTTCATCGAGACTATGAATAATGGAGGACGCTCGGCAGGAGTGGCGGCGGCAATTTTGGATGATTGTTATTTTGTTGCTTCTGATTTTTCTGTGTCCAAGTTTGAACATTGTAATAGAGAGGCAAATAAAGTAGCTCATGAACTTGCTTGGTTGGCTAGATTTTCTGATACTGTTAATTGGTTTGAGGAGCCATTGAATGAAATTGAACCCTTCCTCTTAAACAATGTATCAGTTATTTCGATTGAATAAAGTTAGTATGTTTAAAAAAAAACCAACCGCAAGTTTGTGGGTCCGGACTGGGTCAATCTAAAACTCAACGTATCGCTTCTGCAACATACAGAAGGAGGAAAGGGAAGCAAATGACATACCGAAGGATGGCAAAGGCGTCGATAGCTCATTGCTTACTGCGTTTTCCCGTCAAAAAAAGTGTAGCTCTCACAATTACCTCTATAATCTTGTACTCCCTCCATTCCTAAATACTTGTCTTTCTAGTCATTTCAACAAGTGACTACATACGGAGCAAAATGAGTGAATCTACACTCTAAAATATGTCTATATACATCCGTATGTAGTAGTCATTTGAAATGTTTAGAAAGACAAATATTTAGGAACGGAGGGAGTAGTTGCGAGTGAAACATAGATCGGTACCAGTAGTTTCATAGGAGAAATATTTCCATACATGGCCAATAATACTACAAACATGGAGGTTTATAAGCTTTCTACAGATTTTTTTTCCTGACGTTCGCAACTCCACTCTCTTTCTCTTTATATACAGATAAACGATGCCTTGAATGAATCAACAATGATGCAAAAGAGGTGAAAATGACAAGAAAATGACATTATGCGAACAAACAAGTCTCGATTTCTTCCAAACGCACGCACAACATGTGAAAACCGCGCAAAATCTGACAAGAAAATGACAGCAATAGAAATGAAACCCCTCTTGCCTCCCTCTTCCTCCCGGCCGGCAAAAACTTCAGACACCGCCTCTATTTACACACCATCAACAGGGCGGTCTTTCGCTCTTTGGCCGGGTAGAAGAAGAGCAGGGGGATCGACGCCTGATGCACAGGCAGTAACTTGTAAAACTAACATGGTGACGTTCTTCCTGAGTGCCATGCACTGCAACGAATGGTCTTCTTCTCTACTGTGCTGTCCTCGGTCAGGCGGAGGAGGACAACGACAAGCGGCTGGACCATGCCGCCGGCAGGGGCGATGGAGGCTGCTTGCGGTTGCGGGCGTGCGCCGCCTCCAGCTCAGAGGTGAGCATGTCGAACATGACCTGCACGTCCTGGTACCCGCAGGTCTGCACGTCCTCGTGGAGCTTCAGTATCCCGCCGCTGCCTGCATCACAGTGCGCAGATTCAGTTTCAGATAAGCTTTTTTACTTTACTTTTCTCTTCTTTTGAGACAAGTTTCAGACGTGTTCTTGTAAAAAAATCATCTCTAACACAAGGTACATTGACGTCTCAGTTTCAATCAAACAATGCTATACAAAAGTATGTATTGCTATCTAGGCTGATAGCAACAGGAGCTTCTGCTCCATCCCTACTGATGAAAAGTCACCACAATTTACTTCAATCCAACCAAATGGACGGACAGAGACAAATAGGAGGCCTCTCCCATAAGGCCATAAGAGATGGAAAAGGCCTACTGGTCCAGCAGGAAATCCGTACAAGGTATGAGAGATCGATCTGAGTGGTCCTAAAGATTGCAAAAAGGAAAAATCTGATGGATGATCAATGAGGCCCCTTGGTGTTTGGAGCATACGAATTTTCCAACGTGTATGTGCTTCATGTGAAATTCTTGCAAAATCCTATGGTTTGAAACACAGAAAGCCTCCACGAATCCCACACGAATTTAAGCTAGAATCCTGCAAACCATGCCATGCGTAGCTCATCACAGCACGCTATATTGAAATCGAGATCTTGCAGTAGTAAATGTTAGTACTACTGCCGCGGCTACACAACGAGATCCCGGAGATCGAATTTACTGCACTTAATTCCGGAGATAATAGTACTACCTAGCAATACAAGCATTATCTCATGTTCTTTGGTCTGTATGGTGGGGACCTATTTACCGATTTTCTTCTAATAACAGACGGGCTGAACTTTCGGCCTCTTCCCCTCGACAATCCATATCACACCTTGTTCACACCACAATCTATTCAAAATGATGTTTGGTGCAGTATAAAGACGAACAAACCAGCTTACAGAAAGAAGTGAAAATGTAGAATTACAGGTAAATTGTCATGTTTTTCTGTATAGTCGTAAATCTGGACTGTATTGTACTTCTGCCCACCAGATCTTTGTACCGACAGATAAACAAATTTTCCTCTAAAAAGAAAGGCAGATAAACAAATTTTGATTTTCTTCTGAGTGCAGAAATTTCTCATATTTTTTCTCTTTGTATCCCTTTAGGCGAAGAAGCAAATAAGGAATAGCCAACACATATCGTTACTAAGACAGAAAGAAAAACAACTTTCCTAGCGACGAACAAATAAAGGGGCCCAAGAAATCAATCATTCCCGTGAAATCGAAATTTGCTGCCAAACATGCATCTAGACGTCCCAACACCTCTAAAAGGCAGGACCAATGACCTGCGTTTTTCCAGACCCACATTTCATCTGTTTATTCTTTCATTTCAGGAACACCGAAGGAAGCAAAATGGAGAGAAAATCTTGGCCATCTAGCGCTTCCAATCAAGAAACCAACCGGAAATCATCACCGTTTTTTTCTAGACGAACATACGCCTGGACAGTGGTTGAGTTGGAGAGGGGTGCGGGGAGGGAGACTGACCGGACTTGCTGCCGCGGAGGAGGCGGCCGGAGACGGCGGCCCACGCACGGCGCGCCCGGAACACGACCTTCTTCCGCCAACACGCCATCGGCGCTGCGGACGTTCTGGCAGTTTTGCAGTGGCGGTTCCGTCGGCGTCGGCGTGGGCGTGGTCGTGGGTGGCTTGGCTACTGCTAAGTGGCCGTTCTTCTCTGCTCTGTGCGCGTGACGCCGGGACGGGGCGGCTTTTATCCCCTCGCGGAGGAGGCGGCTTGGAGCGTTGGCTCCCCTTTTTTTTCTTCTTTTGCTGGTTCGTTTGCGTGTGAGCTATGCGCACGCCGGGTTCCTGGGTACACGCGGTTGCCGCCTACGTGGCAGATCTGATTTGCGTGGCAGGGATTAATCGCGAAATCTACTTTTAATGGCCCTCGCTAGGCGTTATCCGGTTATAATCCCGCAAGCGGATGCGGATCAGCCGTTTGATTAGTTTTATTTCGAAATTATAGGCTTATACAATCGCGGCGCACTAAATCCTCGATGCATGGGGTCATGCCGGCATGTATGGAGCACACCGCAGTGATGCGCTCGGTCCGACTATGCGATGTCAGACGATCTACTACATATTTTGCTCTCTCCTAAGTTTCTATTGTTGTGTTGTGCTAAAAGGCGTCGTTTCTAAAATTTAATCAGTTGTAGAAACTAGTACGTACAATACATTCGAATCTTTTTTAAGTCTACAATGCAAAGTGTGAGCTTCAACCAAATTCAATTGGCTCTATAATTCTAAATCACATCCACACTGCTG